CCCCCCAAAAAAAAAAACCCAACACGAAAAAAAAAACGTCATAAAGACTCACTCATAACTAACTCGTCGCTCATAGTCTCATACTGACGCGTAAGTACTGGCTCACACAAAAAGGACTACTTCAACCTGCTATAGATTCCTGCCCGTTTGTCTTCACTCGGGTTTTCCTGTGTTTATCATAAAGAGTACACTGTCCCTTCCTGGGTGATTTTAAAACTTTCCGATCGATTCGTCATCGTCATCAAGCTGCGACCATTGATTTATTGATACTTTTAGTACGGTCTGGCCATAGATCACTCAGGGCGGAACGCAATTATTACCCAAGTATGGCACACAATTTGGCCACTGTTTAAAAAAAATATTAATTTAGCTTGAGAGGGGGGAAATGGTCACAAAAACCGCCATTTAGTGAAAAAAAAAAGAGTAAGATGTTTCTTTTGTTTGAGTAAAGAGAAGCACGTCGGCACAACAATGGTCATTTAGTGCTGAGAAAAAGTAAGACAAACAGACAGAAACAACAGAGGGAAAGAAAAGAAGTAAGACCTACCAGTGGCGCCCTCTAACCACGCACAAAAAGTAAGACAGACAGAAACAACAGAGGGAAAGAAAAAAAAGTGGGACCTACCAGTGGTGCCTTCCAACCACTCACTTATAACAGTCGAATCTACTTATTTGTTTAAGTAAACGTTTTACGGCACTTGCAACACAATAACATCAGATCGGTGCGGGAGGCTAGAGATGTTACAACAAGAGAGTTACAAACATAAAAACGAAGGAGGAGAGATAAGGACAGAGGATGTTTGATAGGAAAAAAGGAGCAAACCACGCCAAAGCACCCGCCAACCACCCACGACCTTACTCTTTTTTATAGTTTTAATAGAGGTTTTACGGCGCTCGCAACTGCATAAGGTCATATGAGGTGATTAGAGGTGTTACAAGAGAGTAACAAACATAAAAAAGAAGGAGGAGAGAAAAGGACAAAGGATGTTTGATAGGAAAAAAGGAGCAAACCATACCAGAGCACCCGCCAACAACCAACGAACCTACTCTAATGACCACCAGTCCAAATCAATCTCTCGTACAAACGACCACTTCCGAATTTCCACTTTGTGGGGGGTTTTTTCCTTCATAATAATGACACTGTCAAATAGGACCACTTATCTCGGACAACCACTTTTCGGGGGGTTCTAGGGGCCAAAAGGTTAAGGTATTTGCCTCTCATTCAAGAGGTCGTGGGTTGGAATCCGGTTTGAGACGTAAAATTGTCTACTCTAAATTTCCGCCTTTCACATCCTTTCCTGCATCCAAACGATGTTCTGTTGTCTGCTTTCGTCTCCACTTTCTTCCCCCACCCCTCACCTCCTTTGCCCCCTCCTCTGGGCTCCTGGCTCTTTCTGCAGTATTTCTACTGCTACTCCTTGGCTCCTTCTTACTGTTGTCTTTCAGCAACACCCTGATCTTATGGTAGGAAAAATCTACACCTAGCCTTCTCGGACAAGGGCGAAATATCTCAGAGGTCCTGTGTGCAAGTTGTACTCGTTACAGGTCCCTAGGTGGTCAAAATTCGATAAAAGTAGGCTCGGCCGCAAGCCGGGCAAAATTCAAAATTTCTTACCAAATGAAAATGTTTAATGTGTCCCGCCCACTCATATGACCTTATGCAGTTGCAAGCGCCGTAACACACTTACAAAGAACATATACAAAAAACCCACTTTTCTTCTCGAAAATGGACGGCCGTCTTAGACAAGTTCGACTGTATTGTGACCCTTTCCAGGAAGACCATTTAGTTTTAGTGAGGTTTTACGTTGCTCGCAACTGCATACGGTCATATTATGAGCGCCAGAAGATTAGAGGTGTTACAAGAGAGTAACAAACATAAAAAAGAAGAAGGGGAGATAAGGACGATAGATGTTTGATAGGAAAGAA